GCACATGTCTCCCTAAGAATTTGCAGAAGTATATTACCATTTGTAGCTTAGCACTGACCTACTTCTTTTGTGGCTCTGAGGAGACTTTCAAAGCTGGCAGATATCCTTTAACATCTCTAGAGATCCTTCAGTATTTTCAGAATCATCATGAATATAAACATCAACATTTAATGAAGTTATCTCTTATGTTTTTAATAAGCCATAGCATTTGTCTCACAATGGAATAAATGAATAGTATTCAAAATGAAATCGGTATGAAATCAGTATTTTAAAGTAGGACTGTGTGCAGTTTTTTTTTTTTTTTCCAGAAATAAGGCTGAAGATTACATCTAATTCCTAGACTTTTTCTTCACGTCTTTGTAAATTTAAGCATGCAAGACAAAACTTGTGTAGAAAAAAAAAGTTGTGCCTTGACTGTGGATAAGGTTTTCAAAAGAGGTTTTCATTAAGCAAAAGCTCTATTTCAGCGTTGCAGTGAAATTGTTAATTTTTGCAATTATTTCCTGTAAGCTTCCTTTGAAAACATTTGACACTAGTAGAGAAAATCCTTTCCTACCACAACATATAGCAGCGCTTCATAAATACTGTGTAATTAAATAGAGTGTATTACAGTGTTTACCAAAGCAAACTCATTAGAAGCAAATTATTGTTCGGGTGCTGTGGAAAGAGATATTCTTGATATGTGTGAGAGCTGCTCTGAAAGTAATGCCTCTTCTTTTATTATGCTGGGGAAATGTCAAAGGCAGATCTTGGTGGTACAGCAGTAGAGGTTGAACCTTCCCACTTGTATTCCATTACATTTTGTTGCTGTGTGACAGATGGCAGCAGGTACTGTTTGTGTGAACTATAACCTGGAAAAGGTTGCATGTATTTCTGAGAAACTGTTAACATGAAAGCTAAATAGCTCTAAATAGTTCTCTGTATGTGCTGATTGTCATTCAAGGACGAAATCAGTTGATAGTTGAAGTCAGTGATAGCTCTTTGAAGATACCAGTGCATCAAAAAGCTGTTGTTTTCCTGTGAATTGCATTGCAAAGACTCAGACTTCAGATGTAATGTTTGCATTTCTTCTTGTGTAGTTTTCTTAAAGGGGCTTTTCACTGGGTGTTCCTTTTTGCTTCTAGGAATCATAGAGTCATAGAATCCTTAAGAGTTGGAAGTGACCTTTAAACGTTATCTAATCTGACCCCCCTGCAGTGAACAAGGACACCTACAGCTAGATCAAGTTGCCTAAAGCCCTGTCCAGCCTGACCTTGAATATCTCCAGGGACTGGGTATCCACCACACCTCTAGGCAGCCTGTTCTGATGCCTCACCACCCTCACTGTAAAATAATTTTTCCTTATATCCAACCTAAATCACTCCTTTTGAAGTTTGAAACCATTTCCCCTTGTCCTGTCACCACAGGCCCTGCTAAAGAGTCTGTCCCATTCTTTCTTATAGCTCCCCTTTAGATACTGACAGGCTGCTCCTAGGTCTCCTCACAGCATTCTCTTCTTCATGCTGCACAGCCCCAGCTCTCTAACTCTGCCCTCCTAGGAGAGGTGTTCCATCCCTCATTTTTGTGGCCCTCCTCTGGATGCACTCCAACAGGTCCATGTCTCTCCTGTACTGAGGACTCCACATCTGGACACGATGCTCCAGGTGAGATCTCACCAGAGCAGAGCAGAGGAGCACAATCACCTCCCTTATCCTGCTGGCCACACTTCTTTAGATGCAGCCCAAAATATGGTTGCCTTTCATGGCTCTGAGGGCTTTCTCATGTCCAGCTTCCCATCCGCCAGTATGCTCAAGTCCGTTTCAGCAGAGCTGTGCATAGTTCTTTCATCCCCTGGATTGTATTCGTAATGGAGGTGCAGGACCTTGCAATTGGCTTTGTTGAACCTCGTGAGGTTCTCCTGGGCCCACTGCTCAGCCTCTCTAGGTCTGTCTGGATGGCATCCTATCCCTTGGGCATGTCGACTGCACCCCACAGTTTGGGGTGTCATCTACAAACTTGCTGAGGGTGCACACAACCCCACTGTGGATGACAGCAATGAAGATACTGAATAGTATCAGTCACAGCACTGATCCCTGGGGACATTACCCATCACTGATCTCCATCCAGACATTGAGCCATTGACCACCACTCTCTGGATTCAATTCTGCAGCAGGTTCTTTGTCCTTTGAACAGTCTACTATCAAATCCAAATCTTTGCAATTAGGACAGATGGATGTTGTTGGGTGCCATATCAAAGGCCTTGCTGAAGTCCAGATAGATGACATCAGTGGCACTTCCCTTGTCCATTGATGCAGTTACACTATCATAGAAGGATGGTTAAATTGGATTTACCCTTGGTGAAGCCACGCTGGTTCTCCTGTAACACCTCACTGTCTTCCATGTGCCTTAGCATTGCTTCCAGGCAAATCTGTGAATTCCATGATGTTTCCTGGCATAGAAGTGAGACTGGCAGGTCAGTAGTTCCCAACGTCATTCTTTCACTGTTCTTAAAAATAAGTGTGATGGTACCTTTTTTCCAGTCACCAGGGACTTCACCTGATTGCCGTAACTTTTCAAATATTGAGGGTGTCTTGGTGACAGCATCAGGCAGTTCCATCAGGATTCTGGGGTGCATCTCATCAGTAGCTGTAGACTTGTGGATGTTCAGGTTCCTCAGGTTGTTGCAAACCTGATCATCCTGGATTTCTGTGTTTTTTAGCATTCTGAAATGCTTTACTTACTTGACGTTCATTTCTTTACTACATTTTCATACTTTTATGATGTAAGTTTCTTACAGCATTTCTTATGTTAGTACTAAACTATATATCCACATGGCTTTTAAACAGTTCATTGGGGAAAATAAGAAATTCTTCAAGTAAAGTCAAAGTATGTAACAAGTGTGCGCTATGTGAAAGAAGAAGTTGTTAAGTTTAACCATGCACTGAGTTAAATTTTGTGCATTTGTACAGAGTGTCTTCTTTTTAGCACTTGCTTAAAAGGAAAACCTGACTTCCAATGCTGCGGAATGATTATGGTTTTGCATTAGTATTAAGAGAAAATTTGCATTTTCTCCTGCCTTCAAGGCTAAACACCCATTTCAAAGACTTTTTTATTTTAACTACCTTCGAGTTTTTAATTATTGGAAAGCTCTCCCAACCCTCAATTAAAGTACTTAGCACTTCTGAGGGTTTGGGCTCTCAGAACAAACATCTGAAATTAGTGAACAATTTTGTAGATTTAAGCCTTGAGTACAGTGTAGCCTGTAGTGAGATACCCCTTGGCTCTGATTTTGTGTAGCATGATTTTTCCTTAAACTATTATGATAATGGAAGTTAGGTTAAAAAAAATAATGATGGGCAGGTAAATTTTCATGTCGTTCTATTTGGCACAGACTTATCTTACATATTTCTTGCCTCCGTTTACACTTCTTATACTGTTTGCTTTGTAAGTAAATATTGCTACTCTTTTTATAGTAAATATTCTCTTCAGTAATTAACTATGTATTGTTAAATCAACCTCAATTGTTTGCTTGGGAACTGAGAATGGTCAAATATTGGTATAATGGCTCTGAACACATTGGTACCCTGAATTCATTTCCTCTTTCATTTCTGGTCTTAAGCTCAGGATCTCAATGTGCTAGACATGGCAATTGCATTGAAACCTCATACTGATAAAAACCTGTTTTCACGTATGTCCCCAGAGATTGATAATAGGTTGCACAGGTTCTGAAGTGCACCGGCTATATAGCAACTCAAAAATCATTATTAAGCATTACTAGCATTTTCTCAGATTGTCCCTTATCATCTATTCTTTCTTGGTAGGTGTTTTTTAAGATCTCCAATGTGATACTTTAATAATAATGCTTCTCATAGATTTTATAAACTAACTTATAGTAGTGGCTTGCAAAAACTTCAGGAATTTCTGTGTATATTAACACTTAATAGAGAATAGCTTGGAATTCCTGATTCTATTGCTATGTTTACAGGAAGGAAAAAGACAGTGTATATATTTTGGGACGGTAGCAAAAGAAATAGTAATAAATAAAATTGAAATGGTGAAATTCTCAAAAATTTCCTGTAGGCATAAATCAGGATTGCTGTTATTCCTTATATATACAAGATTGAAAATGAGGAAACTGCAATAATTCTGTATTTAGCTCTTGAACTAATTTTGCACGAATACATATATTAAATTCTAGTAAACAGTTCATAACATCTTGGGTTCAAATATGCTATGGAGGAAATTCTCAGACTTGAAGTATTGGAAAATGTTCCTGGCAAATTATTTCATTAATGTTTTCTGTGATTTTTTTTTGGTGGCTTTTTTTTCCTTCCTCCTAAAGAGCTGAAGGGAGGGGTCAATACTTAGAATGGTTTGGGTTGGGAGGGACCTTTAAGATCACCTAGTTCCAATCCCCACTGTAGGCAGGGACACCTCCCTGTAGACCAGGTTGCTCACAGCTCCATCCAGGGAGGGAACATCCACAGCTCCTCTGGGCAACCTGTTCCAGTATCTTACCATCCTCACAGTAAAGAATTTCTTCCTAATATCTAGTCTAAATCAACTTTCTTGCAGTTTAAAGCAACTTCCCCTCATCCTGTCACTACATGCCCTTATAAGAAGTCCCTCCCCAGCTTTCCTCTAGGCCCCCTTCAGGTACTGGAAGGCTGCTAGAGGGTCTCCTTGGAGCCTTCACTTCTCCAGGCTGAAGAGCCCCAGCTCCCTCCGCCTGTCCTCACAGGGACTCCAGCCCTCTGATCATCTCCATGGCCCTTGTCTGGGCCTGCTCCAAACAGCTTTGTGTCCTTGTGCTGCATGCTCCAGAACTGGGCACAGTACTCCAACAGTTTTTCTTGAAGTGCTGGAAAGAGAGATTAGTAACTAAGTGCAGGACCTTTTGTAAAAACTCAAATGAACTTTGGAGGAGACTAATTGGATTAAGCGATATAGAATACATGGAAGTACATATTTGCCATGGACACTTGTAGTAATTATTGTGTTCTTCTGTGTGTGCGTTGAAGGTATCCTGAGCTAGCTGCTGTATGCAGAAATCCCAGTACTCTCATTTTGTATCCTGGAGCTGAAGCTACCAATTTGGAAGAAGTCACTGTGATGTCTTCTAGCCCACCAGTTATGATCATCATTGATGGAACTTGGAGCCAGGCTAAAGATATATTTTACAAAAATTCTCTCTTCCGATTTCCCAGGCAGGTAAGTTATAATATGTAAATTAAAGATATGTGTATAAGAGATGTTTACTTTCTGACCAGGTCGAAAGGAAGATTTTAGTTAAGGAAATTAATGGAAATCTTTTTTTCCTTTTCAATTGGTTCCTGCTGATAAGGAGAACTTAATGGTGGAAAAAAAGTGTGAGCTTATGAGAAAGTTGACTTGACGTTGGTGGGGTTTTTTCCTTTTGTCATTTGAATTTTTTTTCATTTAACACAATTTCGGTGTATCATTTTTTTTAATAAAATTGAAAATGAGTTTGAGTTGAAGATGAAGATGAAAATTTTTTGCTCTTACCAAAAGCGTTGGACCACCTGCAGTGAAACATTCTTTTCCTGGCTGAGCATTTTGCATTGTACTAACAAAGAAGGTGGAAGTTGAATGTTATAGTCTCATGAAAATCCACAGTTGTATTCATGAACTTGCTTTCCGCTGTGTTAAAAACTGTTGATGTCATATGCTGTGTTTATGCAATTATTGCAGCTCTCCCTGCACATATGAAAATACCATTGATATTAATACAGTGTCATTAATGGACATGTGATCCTTTTGCTGCATTCATAAAAGGTATTGAACTTCTTCTCAAATAATTTTTTTAGGAGATACCTTAGTGTGGCTTTAGCACAGCAGTCTTAAATGTAACTTTTGAAAGTAGAACTTAGATCTTGTCTAACTGAGTCACTGACATCGAGGATTGAATTTCTCCCATTATTAGATTGAACTCATTTGTATTCATGTTACATAAACACAGTAGGTGGCACTTCTTCATGCATAACAATGATTTCTCTGGGTTGAGCACCTGAATTCAGAAATAGATTTCAGAATTCTAGAAATGGATTTCCTATAAAAAGCTCCCATTATGCTTATTTGTCGTTTCTGTATGTTGTGCGTCATTCATAGTAAAGAACTTCCAAATCTGGAAGCTTGAAAATTTTAGAGGTTTGATGGATTGCAAGTTTTTGAAAGGAAACATGACTTTTTTTTTTTTTTTTTTTTTTTTTTTGGAATGAGTTTTCTTGTCAATGGAGCATGTTGAAACTGGTCAAACTGTTTCTGCTGTGACTAGAATTTGTCTGTAATACCATAGGTTTGAATTTGTTTGAAATTAAATTGATGCCTGAATGGTGCCATTGCTTTAGGGTTCCTGTTGTGTCGGTTCTTACAAGATACTTGATTTTGTTCCTTATCAGCTGCCTTACTGATACTGAAATAGTGAGATAGTGTACCCTGGAGAGTTTAAGGGCCTCTGGCCCTCTGTAATGAAAAGATGCACAGCAGCTTGAGCTGTCAAAAGCAATGCACACAGCCCTTTCGTAAGACTTGTGTCAGTCTTTGTTCTAGTTCATAACTTGTGTGCAGTTCCTTGTTTATTGTACTTTTTTGAAACTTCTGTGTAGTACAGGGTTTTCATCTGAATTCTTGTGTGAGCGTTCTGAAGTATTTGTTTATCAGATAGCTCAGTTTGGCTATCTGAAGGCAGGTGCAGGTGTGGTTTGTCTGCAGATCAAAACAGAAGGCATTATTTTGTCCTTATCTCTTGGTTTCTTGTAGATGGCATAGTGCCTGTGAGATGCTTCCTCCTGTAAATTATTATAACAGTGCCTCTTAGAGGAATGCTTTTCAGTACATACTCAAATACCGCACGCTGGGTTAGATTATGTTCTTCTTTTTTATGTACTTCCACAAGAATAGGATTATTTGCCCACCTGTACTGTTTTCCTCTTCTTTTTCTTTCAGAAATGTTATTAAAAGTATATTGTGAAAAAGGGTTACCACTGACATTTTTACTAACAGAAAACATATCATCGTTGGATCACCTTTTCATCAGTGAAAATCTAAGTCTTCTGGGGCAAGGGAGAGGCAATATGAAAAATTATAAATGTCCAAGCCCCTGTTGACTATAATGTTTGAATAGTTTAAATGGAATACTATTTTTCAGCATGCTGCTAATTAAAAAAGAGAAACCTACTAATGTAACTACTTAAGCTATAAATAATTTGCTTTAGGTGATGAAATCTGTTTGTTATCAAATAAGGGAATTGCTTTTAAGCTCTTAGCAATCAAGCTGTATTAGTGTAAGTGAAATGGAAGAGTAGATTCTTGGTTTTAGTCCAATTATTTTGGCTTTCAGAAGAAGATGGAATTTGCAGCTAGGAACTTATGGGACTCATTTTAATGTATTTCAATTTAACTGCAGCTCTATGAATAGATTTTATGGAATTTATTTTACTGCAATTCATTTCAAATTCTGCAGATCATTTGTCTTACACTGGCATACCTGATCACTGATACGTGACTTGCCTTTAAGTTCAACAGCGTTTTCATGCATAATCCCTGTAGCTGGGAGCTACCAAATTTGCCAAAGGAGTCAGACATCAATGGTCATAATTCTGTAAGGTGGCTGTTTAACAATACAAAAAGTATTCCTGAAAATACACTTTTCACAGCCTATTTATGTCACTAATTATTCCTGTGCTTTTGCTTTTTATTTTTTTATTTTTTTCAGATGGGAGAAGTGACCTAGATAGGCTTGAGCAGTGGGGTGAAGGGAACATCCTGAGGTTCAGCAAAGCCATGTGCAAAATCTTGCATCTGGGTTGCAGCAGCCCCCACGATCTATACAGTCTGGTGGAGGGATAGATAGAGCACAGCCCTACCGAAAAGGACTTTGGGGTCCAGGTGGTTGGCAAGCTGAACATGAGCCAGCAATGTGCCCTCACAGCCCAGAAGACCAGCTTAATTCTGAGCTGCATCAAAAGCAGGGCAAAGGAGGTGATCCTGCCCCTCTGCTCTGCTCTGGTGAGGCCTCACGTGGAGCACTGCATCCGGATGTGGAGTCCTCAGTGCAGCAGAGATGTGCACCTATTCAAATGCATCCAGAGGAGGGCCACAAAAATGATTCAAGGGATAGAGTGCTTTCCTTATGAGAAAGCTGAGTTGAGATTGTTCAGCTTGGAGAAGAGACAACCAGAGAAAGACAGCAGTATTTCAGTATCTGAAAGAACAGGACAGACTCTTCAGCAGGGTGTGTTGTGACAGGACAAGGGGAAATCCCCTAAGACAGGGGGGATTTAGACTGAATGTAGGAAAAGAGCTTTTTTTACAGCAAGGGTAGTGAAGTAGTGGGAACAGGTCATACAGAGGGTCGGTATGTGCTGTGACCCTGGAAACATTCAAGGCCAGGCTGAACCAGGCTCTGAGAATCTTGATCTAGCTGTAGGTTTCCCTGTTCATTGCAGTGGAGTTGAATTAGATGGCCTTCAGTGGTCCCTTCCAACCCAACAGAGTATATGCTTCTATGATTCTGTGAAATAGAGTAATATCTTGAAAAATAAGATCTGATGGTTACAGTTGAACTATAATTCAAGCCCAGTATTCCACAATAAATCTTTCCTATTAATTTGAAGTGTGATTAATGTCCCTTACTTGTTGGTATAGCTTGGATGTTTAAGGTGGCCTACCTTTTTGCTTCCATTCTCTTATGCCCTTGATGCTGGCAGAATTTCCACTCATTGGCTGCATGTGACAGACACAGCCTCTGCAGAAGCTGGGACAAGTAGAAGTGTATCACACGTTTTCTAAAATGTTTTACTCACCCAGTCATTTTAAAACTGACTTGAGTTTTTCTGTTCTGTCTTTCAACTTTCTTTGAAGGTCTAAGGTTCATGCCATTTTTTCCTGTAAAGTTGAATCATTGTTTTAACTTTTTCTTTTCTGCTGGCAGTTGTATTTTCTTCTGGTAGAAGTTGGAAGAGACCACTGGAGTTCATCTAGTCTAACTCCTCTGTTAAAGCAGGTTTTCTAAAATATATCCTTGCTGCATCTCTACATACCCTGAAAATTCCTATATTTCTCTCAACTGTCCAGGCTAAATGTTCTTCTCACATTTGAGTTTTTCCAAGTATTCCCTGCTCCTTCATGCAGGACTCCTGCCACCCTTGCCTGATTTCTTTCTCTTAGGGATGCACCCATCTTGAGTTTGGAGAAAATGGTGTTTGAATGTTAACCAACTCTATTGGGCACCATTATCTCCCATGCTCTAACTCGTGAGATACCTCCAAGTATGTCCTTGTAGAGGTCAAAGTTGGCTCTCTTGAAGTCCAGGATTGCAATCCTGCTTACAGTCTTGCTTCAGAATGGCCAGGGTTGGGAGGGACCTCAAGGATCATGAATCTCCAACTCCTTTTCCACATGCTGGGCCACCAACCTCCACATTTAATACCAGCCCAGGCTGCCCAGGACCCCATCCAATCTGGCCCTGAACACCTCCAGGGATGGACGGGGCATCACAGCCTCTCTGGGCAGCTGTTCCAGCGCCTCACCCCTCTGTCTGTAAAGAACGTCATCCTGACATCCAACCTAAATCTTCCCTTCCTCAACTTCCACATGAGATACTGACCTCCATTATCTCATGGTCAGTGCATCCACGGTGGCTGCCCTCAACCTTCACATCCCTATGTGTTCCTTCTTAGTTAAGAACAAGTTTAAGAAGCACCCCTCTTTCCTCGTTGGCTCTACCACCAATCTCATCATAAACTTATCTTCCATAGACTACAGGAACTTGCTGGACTTCATCTGCCTGGTGGTGTTGCTTTGACAGCAAATATCAAGGTGGTTGAAGTCCCCCATGAGTACCAGTGCTTGGGATCACAAAACTACTGCCAGCTGTCTTTTGAAGGCTTTATCAGATTCCTTCTCCTGATCGGGCAGCCTGTAGTAAACACTCACAGTGGTGTAACCCACGCTGGCCTGCCCTTTAATTCTCACCCATAAGCTCTCCATTCATTCATATACTGTGAAAGTACATTGCTGCTGTAGAACCAATTTCTTGTTCGGTGTTGCCCTCAAATTTCTTTTTGTCCAATCAAATGTTAATATGTAAGGTAAACTTACGTTCTAAATGACCCACTGGAAAAAAATGCCAGAATGTGAAAGAAATTGCTGGTATTCCTTTACTCATAAAAAGCTAATATTTTGCCAAT